TACATATTAAAGAAAGACATCAGTAGAAAAGAGATGAAAGCTGCTTGTTTTGTTTTTAAGACTAGGCAAAACTGTAAAGCTTTCATAGCTTGTTGCTTCTTACGAGAGAGGTGCATGCTCCTCACACTGTAAGACGGGAACCGTACAAACTGCTTTATATAGTTCTCCGAATTTATCTTGTCTTCCATCATAGGGAGCGTGAAACCATGGAAGTGAAAGGGCATGCAAGGGTCATCTGGTCAAATACAGCATGGGCAATGCCTGTCTTGGCAGCAGGATGGATGAAAAGGATCCGAGGGTCTTAATAGACCACGAGTTAATCAATGAGTCATCAGGGGGACCTAATCTCTCACTCAGACCCTTGGGTGTGGATGTATGACTCCCAGTTTTCATTTCTCCAACATTCAGTATTTTTAAAAAAGGAAACATCTCTAGTTGTTTCCATCCTGAACATGGACGAATGTTTGCAAATTTGGGGGATTGCTGACCAAAATAAACTGGAAAGAAATCCTGTCTGTGCACGTTGGAACCGAAGCCCCTCATCCTTACACTGAGATATTCAGTTGCTCCGTTGGATTCAATTAGAGGCAGGCATGTGGCACTTGTAATGAAAGCGAGGTCTGGCTGCCAGGGCGGATGCAGAGACTGGATCCCTGGGGAAGAGCATTCATTGGAGGAGCCCTTTGGAATATCAATAGAAAGGCTGCTTTTTTTCCCTTTGAAAGAAGGCACACATTACAAGCACAGATTAAGGGCACGGCGGGGGTGTCACAGCAAAGGCCAGGGCCATTAAGCAAGGATAGTGCTGAAGTGTATTACGTGCGGCTGGTTTCCAGGGCAGAGCTTTGGCTTTGAGCGGCTTTGCTGCTTGTGTCTTGGGGAAGTTGCCAGCCCAACCTCTGCAAAGTGGTTTCCTCAAACGGTCAGAGATGCATCCTGTCGAGCAGCCACAATAAGGCCTAGCTGTTGCCCTCGAAGAGGTTAATGACTGCATGATGTTTATGCCCTTTATTTGCAAAGTACTGTATAAGCAGCATTAGTCGAAAAAGCCCATGATTTTGTGAAGGGTTGCAAGAACAAGCATGCAAGCTGTGAAACGCAAGTCATTCCTGGAATTGAATTACTCAATTCTTGGAATTTTAACGCTATGACATAGGCTGGCCACACACTTTATGAAAAGACTGGGCAACTTTAGAATCTGGCTTTATGGGTTTATTTAGCCATCTAATGATTTACTCTTGGTTGGCAGCATTTCAAGGATCAGCCTTTCCTGCCACTGAGTACCTGATGGTTCTTAAGCAGGCCAGAGAGTCAGCTTTGGGCTGTCTCCTTGCAAAACGGGCCCTCCGCTGGTCAGCTGTGCATTTTGCCCCATATATCAAGTTTGTGCAGAATTAGGGGATCTATAGAGTTCCTAGTGAGGATAGCTTTAAAAAAAACCTAGAGACTTAGTAAAGGTAAAGGTAAAGGTTCCCCTTGACAATTTTTGTCCAGTCGTGTTCGACTCTAGGGGGCGCTGCTCATCCCCGTTTCCAAGCCATAGAGCCAGCGTTTTTGTCCGAAGACAATCTTCCGTGGTCACATGGCCAGCGTGACTTAGACACGGAACGCTGTTTACCTTCCCACCGAGGTGGTACCTATTTACTCGCATTTTTACATGCTTTCGAACCGCTAGGTTGGCGGGAGCTGGGACAAGCGACGGGCGCTCACTCCATCGCGTGGATTTGATCTTACGACTGCTGGTCTTCTAACCCCTGCAGCACAGGCTTCTGCGGTTTAGCCCACAGCGCCACCACGTCCCTTAGTAGCTAAGAGTTAAACGGTTCTGTATGAAACATCAGGACTGTATGCACTAGCAGAGTTTTACAATCTGGTATAAGGACACTGGTCCTATAGTTGCTTGAATGAATACATGAATACACTGGACCAATTTCTGGTGCCTGCTGATCACTGGAGGTCTTCAAAAATTCTGCTACATGTGATTAGCCCATATTTTTTTAATTCTCTTGATTTGAACCCCCACCACCTCATGCAGGTTTTGATGCAGCCTCCTGAAGAATTTTGCAAAAATGCCTGGTTGCCCACAAACCTGGGGCCAAGTTGCATGCTGTGTGCACTTGCAGAGTGAAACGTGGCAACTCTGATTTATTTATTTAAATTGTGTGCCACCTTTCTTCCCATTTTACCTGTTTATGATCACGACAGATAAAATAAGAAATTTAGAAACACTATATAAACATCACATTTTAAAAATAATTAAACATACATAAAGGTTAAAGCAATCAAATATAAAAACATTTCAGGGGGTAATGTATGGTGTAAATCCACTCTTGCTTCTTTTCTGAACTTCACCATATGTATCCACAGTGTTGGGGGTTGAGCACCTGCAAAGTTCAGAATCAGATTCTCTACCATGTGAAATTAGTATAACGGTGTGTGGCTTCTTTCTCTTGATAGACTAGAAAACCTCCACACACATAAAAACAGCTGCAGTTTGGGGGCGACAACACAACCCTTTTCCTTCCTGCTAGTGATCAACAGCAGCGCTGATGATCACCATTAACTGTGCCATCTAGGAGTTGTAATCCCCAAACATCTGGAGGGCCAGATGTTTCCCTTCCCATTTGGGGAGTTGGGAGGGCATTGCTGGACCCTTTCCCTTCCTGATGCTGGTCCACACAAAGCCACAACCTCTTTCTTTTTCGCCCTCCTACTCCCACAGTGTCTCACTGGGTCTAGTTGTGGCATTCCAAACAAGTAACTTTTTCAAGCTTAGCAGAGAAGCAAAAAGCAGCTGGGGAGACAAGCGAGGGCAGTGGAGTGGGGTGGTATTGGGGGACGGCCTTTGCGGTGGGGTCTCCTACTCAACAGAAACAACCAAAGCTGCTTCTGAACTAGGAAGAAAGTTGTCCGGGAAAGGTCAAAAAAGTTCAGAACCCCACACCATCTGCAGTTTGACATTTATTGGTGTGGTCTCAGCAAATTGCCAGCACTTAAACTTTGGGAACAGTTGTAAAATGGAGAATGGGTTTAAAAGGCTCATTCACATGTGGGAATTGTTGTGTTTTTATTTTTCAAGATAATTCATGCTCAGATGCCCAAGATGTGAACTGACCAGACCCAGAAGCATTTTGTTTGGATTGAGGTAGAAGAGACAGGAATTCCATTTGTGGTGTTCCTGAAGGGCAGTCCATTCACAAACGTGGTGTAGTGGGGGTATCTGCGTACAGAGCATCAGACCCTTACTCCTTCGAGTTCTGCTCTGGTGTAAATGCAAATATGTATGAACCCAAAGCAGCCGTACCACCCCTGACAAAAAAGGGAGGTATGTGCAGGATTGATGGAGCCCTGATGTTTGCAGAAAACAACAACAACAACAACAACAACAACAACAACCATCATCATCATCATCATCATCATCATCATCATCATCATCATCATCAGGGGGAGGGGTTCACCAAGACCAAGGGGAGGAAATACCCAGATTAGCTCTAAGAGATCTAAATGTGTTCAGTAGCTCTGGAATGTTAGCTTGAATTTTATGACTAGAAGATGGGCAGAAAGCACAGTGGAAGAAAGAATGGAATGGATGACTGGGGGTGGGCAGGCGTGTCTGGCAGATATTTTTAAGGACAAGCACACAAACACCACTGTAACATGTTTCTGCAGCTCTCACTTCCATCCTTTATCTGTTTTTTTGCACAGTCCTAAAAGTAAAACGCTGTGCTTTTTTGAAGCTTTGCATCCCCCCCCCAATGTCATTGCCTTCTGTCTCTTTTATATGTAAAGTGTCTAAAGGAATATGCCTAAGTGAATGGACACCATGCAGAACACTGAAAATGCAAACTATTGCTCAGCATAAGAGTGGCAGAGCAGAGAAAAGTAGGGGGACTCACCCAGTCTCCTTCCTCTTAGCTCTGAAAAGAAAGAAGCATGCCAGGAAACAGAGAGCCATAGCTCACTGGTAGGTGCAGCACATGCTGAGCATGTGGAAGGTCCCAAATTCAATTCTTAGTGTATCTCCAAGTAGGGCTAGGAAAAAATATGAGCTGAAGACCCGGCCAGCTGCTCTTAGTCAGTGTCAACTAATCCTTGGCAAGACAGACCTGACTCAGTGTAAACAAGCCGTGTTTCTAGGGTAGTTTGCCTCCCGGTAGATTAAGCAGTGAACTAAACAGAAACCAGAGCTTACAATCATGTTGAATTTACTTTCAGTTTACTGCAATAAATGGTTTCCATCCTGCTTCCTAAGAAATGAAATTCTGAATGGTCTTAAATGCCACCAACTGCTCCTTCTCTTGCTCTTTGCTCTGTTTTTCCTCACGAGACCTCCTGAAGGAGGTTCTGACCCCAGCAAAGAAACACACAAGAGATAACAAAGGACTCTCACCTGAGCACAAGTCTTGGCGATTTGGCAAACCTGCGGGGAGCACAGAATAGCAGCACCGGCAGAAGTGAGCTGAAATGCAGAAAGATCATCCAGCAGCAAGGGTGGAGGAGAAAACCCAGATCCTCTGCTCACTCCATAGCAACCCACCCCGTCCTACACCACAAAAAAGGACTAGGATTCTGCAGCGAGACACAATCGCTGCCAAGCTCCTGGAGAAGAGAAGGGAGGAAAGGAGGGCTTCTGTCAAGAATCCTCTCAGCGTAAAGAAGAAGAAAAGTGGAGAAGGTGAGGACTGGTGAGATGTAACTGAGTGGCAGCCTGAGAAACCAAGTGTTGGAAGTGGGCGGTGATGGTGGAGGAAATGTCAGACGGCTGATAGGGATTTTGGAAGGGAACGAAAGGCTTGAGGGTTGCTGCTATGAGCTGGAGAGCCGGCTGAGATCTTTGAGCTTCAGGAGGCAGCCGCACGTGCTTCGGAGAGGAGAGGAGCACGGCCGTCTGTGGGCTGGTGGAGATGTAGCGGAACGGAAGCTCCCGGGGGTCTTGAAGAAAGCAGGAAGACATGGATGAGCTCTACCTGCGAGGAGGAGGAGGAGAAGGAGGAGGTGGACAAGAAGAAGGAGAAGGTGGTGAATCGGCCCTGGCTAACGATACCCTCCCGGGAGAAAACCAAACGGAGGAGGACACTTCAGGGCTACTCCTGCGAGTAGCGATGGCCTCTCTGTTGCTGCTCCTCATCCTCTCCACCTTGCTGGGCAACACCCTCGTGTGTGCAGCGGTGATCAAGTTCAGGCACCTGCGCTTGAAGGTCACCAACTCCTTCGTCATCTCTCTCGCCGTCTCTGACCTCTTTGTGGCCGTGCTTGTGATGCCTTGGAAAGCAGCCGCCGAAGTGGTTGGCTTCTGGCCCTTTGGCTACTTCTGTGACGTTTGGGTGGCGTTCGATATCATGTGCTCCACGGCTTCTATCTTGAACCTCTGCCTCATCAGCATGGACCGCTACTGGGCCATCTCCAGCCCCTTCATCTATGAGCGGAAGATGACCCAGCAGATGGCTTTTGTGATGATTGGGGTGGCTTGGATGCTGTCCGTCTTGATCTCGTTCATACCTGTCCAGCTGCGGTGGCATAAAGCTAGCGAGGCGGTTCCTGCCCGTGAGGGAGAGTCCAATGCCACCTGGATTCCGGAGGAAAGCTGTGATTCCAGCCTCAATAGGACGTACGCGATTTCCTCCTCTCTCATCAGCTTCTACATTCCTGTTGCTATCATGATTGTGACATACACCAGGATCTTCCGCATTGCTCAGCGGCAGATACGGAGGATCTCCTCTCTGGAGAGGGCCGTGGAGCATGCCCAGAGCTGCCAGAGCGAGGAGTGTCCCCATGACATCTCCTTGAAGAACTCCTTCAAGAAAGAAACCAAGGTCCTCAAGACGCTTTCCGTCATCATGGGTGTCTTCGTCTTCTGCTGGCTCCCTTTCTTCGTGCTCAACTGCATGGTGCCTTTCTGTGACCACGGTCTGCAGATGCTTGGAGGACTTCCCTGCGTCAGCGACACTGTCTTCGACGTCTTCGTTTGGTTTGGCTGGGCCAACTCCTCCCTCAACCCCATCATCTATGCCTTCAATGCTGACTTCCGGAAGGCCTTTGCCTCCATCGTGGGCTGTGGACGCTTCTGCCCTAGCAATGCCGTGGAGACGGTGAATTTCAGCAACGAGCTGGTGTCGTACCATCATGACACCACTTGCCAGAAGGAGCTGGTGACTCTGAGCTACCCGCACCTTCTCCCCCATGCCGCTGCCTTCCAAGGGGAAGACAACACTCTTGTGTTTGACAAAGACTCCCAGTCCTCTCGTGACGATGATGCTGCTGTTTTGTCAGCTATTGTGAATGTGGAGGATGAGATGGAGCTCTCGCTTGAGAAGACCAGTCCCTTTGCCCCTAAGGAGTAAATGAAAGACTGGTGGTGGTTTTGGTAGGGAGAGAACGGGGGTGCATTTCCTCGTTTGCATCTAGTCAAAACTCTGCGAAATGTGTGCAAAGGAGACGGGTGGGCAGAGAATAAAAGTTTTTGTAGGAAATGATCAGCTTCTGCCTGGAAAAGCGTTTGTATGCATCTGATTGATAAGTTTGCAGACAGTCTTCTGAGTCTGTGTGGATGTAGGAGGGGAGGACACAGATAGCTAAATTAAGTTGTTAGTTCCAGCTAGAATAGACCTGTGGAAAGAAAGGTAAGGCAAAACTAATGCATATCCCATTCAGTTGGTGGTGGTGGTGGGGTCTAATGACACTGCGATAAACAAGTGGATGTAGCTTATGTGTTTTCTTCTCTAGTGTATGGCTTCAAATCTGGTGCACACTGCTAGTAGTGTGTGCCGGTTTCATTGCATGATTTAATTTTTTTTATTTTATTTACTGAATTTCTATCCCACCCACCTAGACCAAAGGTCTACTCTGGGCAGTTTGATTAAATGTAAAGTCCACTTCACACCAAATAAAGAAAGTTACTTTCATATGGTGGCAAGGCTGATCTGGGCAGAGGTATTCCAGGTCTCTTTCAACTTTGAATTTCTATCTTAATCATTTGGTTTTAGGTACAAAGGTCCCTTCCTCTTATTTTTTTCCCCCCTTGCCTCTCCACACTTCTAAGGGAAAATATATTGGTGGGGCTCTGCTAGATCACTTGAAAAGGAGTAAAGTGCACCCCACCTGCCTGGATCCTACCTGTTTTAGCAGTGGAAGAAATGACAAACACTTACCACTGCTTCAAGTCTTATTGGAGGGACTGATATATAATCTTTTCAACTTATCACATAATGTATATTTACTTTCCCCCTAAAACTCATAGATTTCTGGTAACATGCTATATAGTTCTTGGCTGGGAAGCAGAAAACGGTCCAGTTAAGAACCAGACATGGTTTTTAAAAGAAATCTGTCTTATTTTTGAAACCCACTCCCCAGCATGCTGATACCTGCCTTTTGATTCTAACTGCCCCTGTCTTTTCTGTGTTAATGTTGCTTGAATTTGAGAAACCTTTTGCAGAAGAAAAAGATGCTTTGCATACAGGAGGTTTCGGGCTCTGTGATTGTCAGGGGGTTAAAAAAAGTTTTGTCTGGGTTTCTCTTACGCATCGATCGGAGACTGGCCATGGTGGCCCTACAGAGGGTGTTGAACCACAAATCCCACCAGTTTTAGCCTGCGTAGGCAATGGTGAGGAACTGTGGGAGTTGAAGTCCAACATCATCTGGAGGGGGACACTTCTGAACTACATCAACAGTTGCTTCCGACTTGAGTAGAAGCTTCCTGTGCTGCTTGGATACAATGTATGGAACAGTTTGATTTCCTGGGTTACAAATCACATCATTCTCCATTCTGGGAATGCTACCTGACAGAGAGACATCTACATGGGGCACAGCTCCACCCTAGCATCCCAGTCCTCTCCTGGTGCAAGCGGGGAGCTTTCTTTTTGAACAAATAGCTAGACCCAGGTTAGCGTCAAAACCCTTCCAGTTACGGACTTCCTTCCAAGTGTGCCACAGAATGGAGGGTTATGGGATTTGTAGTCCAGGAGATTACAAAATTTAATTTCCTTAGTGGATACAGAATTGATGGTCAAGAGAGGTGAGAGAACGGTAAGCTTCAACATTGAAGTTTTATTTGGAAGGGCTGCTGTTTTTAAACTGTCTATCACGATCCACTTCCTAACAATATCATGTTCACTGGCATTGCTGGGCTTAATAGGATGCAATCTACCCATTACATGGAAGAAGCAGAGGTATGCAGTGCTTAGGGGAAAACCATTTAATTGCTCTTTATACAGTGGTGCCGTGCAAGACGAATGCCACGCGGGACAAAAAACCCGCAAGACAAATGGTTTTTTCAATCGCTGTGGTGCCTCACAAGACGGCTTCTTCTGTGGCTGTGCTTTGCAAGACGAGTGTTTTTCGCAAGACCGATACCTCGCAAGACGAATGAATTATTTTCATCTTGCGAGGTTCCCATAGGAATGCATTGCAATGCATTCCTATGGGAAACCGCTTTTCGCAAGATGAAAATTTCACAAGACAGTGCTAATCACAGAACGAATTACATTCATCTTGTGAAGCACCACTGTATTGTGAATTGAATTTTTAAAAACTGTTGTTGCTTTAGTTATGAATTGCATTTTTAAAAACTGTTGTTGCTTTAGTTAGTTTGCCCAAGAGCTGAGGTTTAAATATGGCTTGCATATATATGTATATAGAATGTGCAGAGAGACACGAAATTCATGGTTAAACCTGAGAAGGGTTGCAGGGAATAGTGCCGGTTGCTTCACATATAATGGTTGTTTTGAAGTTGCATTGAGCATCCAATGGTCTCTTTCTTGTTTTTTTGTACCTTGTATAGTAATGGTGCTTACTAGGATTCTGGAAAAGAATCTCTGTTTGAAGGAGTCGTGTATCTGAGCTTTTCTATGCTCTCCTCTCAACCCCCATGCTCTTTTGAGCCAAGTTGAAGCCAATTACTCCTGTTTCCTACACACGTAGACTGCAGTGATTCGACACAGAATACTAAGCAGAGATCAAGTGTATACTTTTGAATTATGTGGATTATTTTATCCCTCTGGCCTCAAACTGGAGAAGCTTTCATGTTATGTGCTGTATGGAATTTTTCTAAGTTCTGGTTTAGGCTCTTACTAAAGGATTTCAGCACTTTGGAAGAAGACAGAGCAGCGGTGAAAGAAAAATGGGGAGAGATAAAAAGAACAAATGTTTTACAAACGTTATTGAATAAACCTGAATAAAGTATGAATCAAAAGGATATGAAAGACCCAAAGATTTCAGACCTGAATAGCGCATAAATGAGGTGCAATTTCTGAAAGATGAACCGTCAACTGAATAATCTACAAATGAAATTTCTTTTGGAGAGAAACCCTTTCAAGTCTCCTTTCCTTAACAAAGAGAAGCAATGGACTGGGTTTTTGTACCACTGCACTAGCGTAGCAGAAAGAAAAGGCGGAACTCTGTACATAGATTTGCCACCATCAAATAAAGGGATTGAAACACGACATGTGGATGTGTGTGCATGGTTGTTTCTGTATACATCTGTAGCTGTATATACACATGTGTTCTGGCTGGAGAGCAAAAGGTTGAGAATTTAATTTCCCACTGCTGTGCCTCCTGCAAGAAGAGCCAGCCTGGGCGGCCTTGGGCAAGCTGCACAGTCCCACAGCTCCCAGAAACTCTGGCCAGCACAGTTCGTGGTGAAGGCTTCTGGGAACTGTAGTCCAAGAACAGCTACGTGACCCAAGGTTGAGAATCGTTGCTCTAAGGTCTCAAACAGAGGACTTCCCCCGGGTGCTCTGCATTTTTTTTTAACTTCAGCAAGGACTCTGTCATGAAGATGGAGCTTGGGGAAAAAAATTGTTTTCCTGGGCCACCACACTCTGAACTCTTCTCCTAGGAAATTCTCCGTTTTCTGGCCATGTTGTCTGGAGCATTTTTGGAGTGGCAGTAAAATCAATAACCACCATACTCTTGTTCAAGCTGTGCCACTGAGCTTGTGTATCTGTGATGCTCAAAATCTGCCTAGAACACTCAGACCCAGTATTCATGCCAAGTTAAAGGAGTGTGCTTAAAACAGGCCAGGGTGATAGGACTATAAATGTATAAATGAAAAACGGATTTTAAATCTTTTTTTTAAACTATGGACATCTCAGCCACAATGGAACTACAGGTTGTAACCCTGTCCCTATACAGTATAGTGTTGTTCTACCTAGGGAATTGTACTCTACTGGCCCTTAATTTCAACTAAACACCTATGATGGCATCTTATCCTCAGTGGATTTGCTAATACCGTGGTGCCCTGCTAGATGCTTGCCCCTTTAAACGACGAAATCGCTTGACAATGCCTTTTTTGCTATCGATATAGTGATCGCAGAATGATGTTTCCTATGGTTTTTTTTTCATTTAACAACGATTAGGTCCCTGCTTCGCAAACTGATTGTTCGCAAGACAACGATTTAAAACAGCTGATTGGTGGCTCGCAAAATGGCTCCCCGCTGTTTTCCGGACCTATTTCTGCAAGACAGGGATCGCAAAATGGCCACCCTATGGAGGATGTTCGCTGCACAAGCAGGTATTTTCCCCACTGGAATGCATTAACCAATTTTTAATGCATTCCAAGGGAGTTTTTATTTTCACATGACGATGATTTCGCTGTACAGCTATTTTAACGGAATGCATTATCGTCGTCATGCGGGGCACCACTGTACCTTTGTCATGCAAATTAATGCAAAGAGGAGTCCAGGGGAAAATGAGTCTGCGGAATCACATAAACACGCTGTCTAGTCTAGTCTGACTCTTGAGTTTACCAGTTCACCTTCCAGTCTTAGGTCTTTCCTAAGCCTGCTTCATTAGGGCTGCTGTGCTAATGAGCCCCAGGCATGAGGGCTGCCTCATTTCAATAACAATAGCTTTTTACCTGGCTTTTCCTACCTTCACTTTAATTAGCATCTTTGCATATTCTCATCCTGTCTGATAAGCTTTAGAGTGGCAGCTGAAGAGGGAGAAGATGTGGGGAGGGGGGGGAGGCAGCTGCCATCATTTCATTGTAAAATGTGACACTGATGACTTCTTTTGAAAGAAAAAAAAAGCAAAACAAACCCACAGTGCTTTAAATAGGCATACACCCCACAAGGCACTTCTGCTCTAAGGCAAAAGCAGAAAATGGAGATTATTTGTCTGTCTCAACCTCTTCTTCTGTGATGGGCATCTTCCGTTCCTCAAGAGTGTCAAGCTGCCTTTTTCAGTTTCTCCTTCCGGCAAACTTTTAACAAAGAATAAAATCAGAAGGTGATAATTACAGAGTAACTGTAATGACTAAAACATACTCCAATTACAGTCAAGTTGCCGTGCACAGTTTGGGGTCGGTAGGTGGGTGGAAGGGAAATATATATATATTTTTATGGAGACACTCTTGATATCTTATTGCTGACAGCTCTGCTCTGTCTCATCCCCTTTCAAGAAGCCGGGGTGCTGTTTTTTTGCTCCCTGCCCTGATCTCTGGAATTTCTATTCCCAGGTACCTTGTGTATTCCAGGGCCGGCCCTATACTTAGGCAAAGTGGAGCAGCTGCCTTTGGCAGAAGCTGTACCGAGGCAGCAGGAACCCATGGGAGGAAA